ACAGTAGTGCTGTCCAATAGAAATATCTGGGAGCCACACAGATAATTTTCAATTTTCTGGCAGCCACATTAAATAGAAGTTAAGAGAAACACGTGAGATTAACTTTTACAATGTGTATTGTTTAACCCAAGGTGTCCAATCATTTTCATTTCCAAGTGTAATCAATGTAACAAATTATTAAAAAGACCGTTTTTTCTCATATCGCACCTTCGAAATCCATTATGTCTTCTGTACTTACAGCCCCTCTCAGTTCAGATGAGTCACATTTCAAGTGCTCAGTAGCTTTTGAAGAATATAGTTCCAGAGGAAATTCTCCCTCTGAGCTCAGGAGAAAGAAATGCCGCCATTGATTAGTGATGTCTGCTACGGGCGTGGGTAGGCCCCATGAGCTAGCTGCATAATATTGCAGTCCACATGCTATAGCCTGTGTTCACCTCCACCTAAGCCCTCTGAGCCCACTTACTATGCCTGACCTACTAAACCTCCAGTGTGGGAGTCCAGAACTTCACGTGCAGGTCAAGCAGTTCTGGCACGGGCACTATCCAAGTATTTCCTGGGTGTGGTTCTGTGTTTTTTCCTCTCCTGTGGGCTGGCCTGTGGCCACTGGTGACCCTGGGAATGTGCGTTTTGTTTTTGTTTGTTTTTTTTTTCCCAAGGCCTCTTCCTCCCAGAGTTAACCAATATCAACATAAAAGTGTTTCCTGAGACTGGGTTAGCCCTTTCAGTCCCAGTCCACCAGCCCACGCCCGCAGACCTCCTGGCCAGAACCCCAGCTGGGAGGAACCCGACCCAGACGCTCCACTTGTTTTCCAGACAATGAGAGGCTAAAATTGGGCCGCGGGGGCAGATGGAAATTGCTGGGGATGGGAGAGGAGGTGAGCTTTGGGGGACACGGGTAGGGAGGCCCCCATTAAGCCCCCATCACCCTTATCATCATTATAGTCCTCAACACCCACCCTCTGCTCAAAATCCTTTAATGGCTCCCTAGAACCCTCAGGGTGAAGATCAAAGGCCTTAGCTCTCAGGAGCTGGCACCAACAGTCATTCCGCCCCAGTTCCAGATACTCTCTCCTCTTTTATCTTATTCATGGATTCAACAAGATGTGTTGCAGTCACTGTCCTAGGTGCTAGAGATGCCACTGTGACCCAAACTGACAAAAGTCTCCCGGCCTTCCTGGAGCTCACACTGCTCTAGCCAAGCCCACGACACTCCAGGCCCTTGCACACCCCAGGCCTTCACAAATGCTCTTCCATTCTTCAGTGACTTCTCTACCCTAGGAAGTTCTACTCATCCCCCAAGGCCCACTCAAAACTTTCCCTGACCCCCACCCCACCATAGGTTGGGTACCTTCTTCCTAGGACCATCACTTGCACTTTCACCCACCAGCCCCACTTCTGCCTCCCCTATCAGGCTGGGAGGGTCTCAGGGGCAGGTGCTATGCCTTCCATAGCCAGGACCCCAGGGTCCGATTCCAGCTGCACTCACCCGAAGGCTCCATCTGCCCCCTCCCCAACCCGCAGCTCAGGACCCAGCAGGCCTAGGCATTCGTGGTGCTGGTAGAGAGGGTGGTTCAGGACTCCTCTGAAGTCGTTCTGAAATCCTTGCCTGAGATCGCCCTACTCCTGGCATTCAAGGGGAGAGATTCACAAGAGCGAAATCACAGTGTTTCCAGCAAAGGTGGGTAGGGGACTGAGGGTGATGAGGATAGAGAAGACAGGGGTGTGTGGGGCTGTAAATAGAGAGTCAAGGACATCAAGCAGCAGAGAAACTAGAAGGCAGTGATCTTTCCCCAAGGGAGACAGGAGGGGAGGGGGGCAGGGAGGCAGACACCCTGCCTCTACTCGCCTCCGCCTCCACCTCCGCCTCCCGGGTAAACCTTAATGGCCCTGTAGTTATAAACGAGTTCCCCATTCCCTTCCCCAGGAGGGCTGAGCCTTGGTCTTTCACAGTCTCAACTCCCTATTTTGCCAGATCCCCTCTTCCCCTCTGGTGGCAGGAAGTGATGCACAGGAAAGAAGACAGAAAGCCAGGCCTGGCTCCTGGCCCCAGCCTGGCCCCCAAGAGGCTGATGCTGGTGCCATGATATCAGGTGGATCTCCATGCTTTCAGGCCCAGCCGAATGGTCCTGATGGTCCACCGCCATCCAAGGCCCACTGTGCTTCTTGCCCATTGGGAGAAAACAGGACAAGAGGCTTGTGCCCTGCATGCCCCTCCCCGCTGGCTCATTTACATGGGATTTACACGGGCTCATTTCATGCCTCGATGCACACGGCTTCCTCCTTCCCTGGCCTCTGCCAGCACCTCTGTGGAGACAAAGGAGTGTGTTCTGTCCCTCAAGTCTTCTCCCCAAAGGCCCATCCGGGCACCTAGAGCACCGCCACAGGAAAGAGGGATCCTACCCAGAGAGGGCAGAAACCTCATTGGAGGTCGCTCAGCAATCCAGGCAGGGCCAGGACTTGAACCCACACTTTCTCTACTTGCTGCTCCTGGAACCCACTCCTTCCTCCACCGTGGGGTAGGTGGGCTTGCTGAGGGGGAAGCCCTGCCTCTACCTTTGCTTGGATGTGAGCTGGGAAAACAGACAAGGCCAAGATATAGACCCTGAGCTCCCTCCAAGACCGAGTTAATTGGTCTTAGAACCCAGAACTGTGTGCAAGAAAGGGCCCCACAGAAGCGCCAGCCCAGCCCCTTCTTCTTACACGTAAGGAGGATGAGTCTCAGGGAAGGCAAGGTCTGCCCAGGATCACGAGGGTGACGGCAGACCCATGTCTCTACACCCAGCCCAGAGCTCTTCCAGATCCCCCCAAACTCCCGGACTCCTGGCCCGAGCACCTGCTGTTGCCTTGATCATTCTGGGAAGGCTGGGTATGGGGAAGAAAGAACCAGGCAGAATCTTCAGTGGGGGACTGGCCCAGGAAAGCACAGGGGAGGCTGACAGGGAGGGGGTGCCATGGGTGAGGGTGATTCCAGTTCTGTGGGTGTCCACCAGAGCCACCCAGAGGCTGGGCTCAGACTCAGAGAGGGGAACTGCCCCAAATCTGCCACATTCGTCTTTCCAGCAGTTACTGTTCAGGAAAATCTCCCAGCAAACCCCAAAAGGTCTGGGTCCCTGCCACAGGGGTAGGCCAGAAAGGAACAAAGGGGAGGAGAGGCCTCTGGGGGATTGCAAGGTTCCTCTCCGCGTCCCTCCATCTAGCGCAGCCCCATTCCTGGTCCTGTCCTAGCCCACTACCTCCCTGAACAGCCTCCTAACTCCCCTCCCTGCCACTCACCCCATCCCTTCTCATGCACCCTTCTGAGTTCTGAAACCTACGCGCTTTACCTTGGAGGGAGTCACGTTTCTAAGGCACAGACCCCACCCCAGCCCTGGTCACTGCCCTGGGGGTTGAAAAGCCAAACTCTGGGGCTAGCACATAAACCCCGCACCCCGCCACCAGTGTCCCCTTGCTCGCCAGCCTCCCCCTCTGCACATATGCCCTGCCTGGCAGGCCAGCCCGGAGGAAGTACCTCGTCCCCACTCAGGCACCACCTGCCGCCACCCTCCGGCTTCCTGCACACACACTTCTATCACCACACATTTATCCCACCGGGTCTCATTTGATCAGCTCTCCCTCCCAGCGTGGGCCCCCTGAAGGCAGGAAGGCCTGAGGCGGTTTCTAGCCTGGCTAGGCCAGGCCTCTCAGGGGAAGTGGTGGGAGGTAGAGGCAGGGGGGTGGAGGTGGGGGTGGGGTGGGGTGGGGAGAAAGGCCAGCTCCCCAGGTATGAACAGAGGAGCTGGCGTGCAGAAGCCGCCTGGCTTCCCGTCAACAGCTTTGCAGGCAGCACACCACGGCCCGGGAGATGTGGGTGCACACCCCACCCCTGTCTCTCGCTAGCTAGGTCTCTAAGGGCAGAAACAGCGAGTGTGTGTGATGAGGAGGTGGCGAGTCATAAACAGGAGCCCCCCACCCTGGCCCCCCAACCGGGCTGGCTTTACAAGCAAGAAGCAGGCACAGGTAAATAAATAGCTTGTTTATTAGTAATATGTTACATTATTAAAGTGCATTGAGAAGAGAAGCAGGGGCCAAAGCTGGAAGGCCGCCGGCCCCAGGCCCTGCCCTGGGCTGGCCAGACACAGCCAGAGAAGGGCCCAGCTCTCTGTTGAAACCCACGGACAGGGCTGGGGGCAGAGCCGTGCACCTGGAGAGCTTGGCCCAGGCTGTCCCCACCGGAATTCACAGTTTAGCCTAAGTTATAACATGTCCTGAGCTGAAGGTGGGAGACTAGGAGCATGGAAGCACAGCCCCTGGGGAAGGGGGCTGAGGGGAGGGGAGGGGGCCCCCCCGCCCCCCAGCCCCCAATGCCAAGGGCAGAGTCCTGGAACCTCCCCCTGAGGACCCGGCTCCTCCTTCTATATGAATGTGGTGAACCTAGGGCTCAGTTTCTCCTTCATTTCCCCCTGTCTCCCTCACCCGACCCCCTCCCATAACCGCCCCACACTGGGGACTGGGACCATGCCCCCCTCAGACTGGGATCCCAGGGCAGAGCCAGCTCATGCCACTCTCCTCGAACCCATGCCTGTCCCTAGACTCTTATCCCATCCCCGGAGCCTCAGACTGGGACCCCCCCACCCCAGCCCATTCCTTCCCCAGTCCCTCCCTGTCCCACCCCACCCCCAGCATGTAGTTTTGGTATTTTCATACAGATGCAGTCAGAATTAGCTATACATGAAATAAGCCTAACATAAAAATAGAGCTTTTTCCGTCCTTCTGTCCGGAAAGCAAACATCCTTCAATAAACATGCAAGACGGCTGCCTAGTGGGACCCAGGGCTGGTGAGGGAGCCATAGAAGGCAGCCCTGGGCCTACAAGAACAGCAGCTACCCCCAGCCATGGCAGGAGGGAGGAGGAGGGGGCAGTTTGCGTATAGAGAGTCCGATGGACTCGGGCCTCAGCCCCAAGGTCCAGAGCCTGGGGCCCAGCTTCCCTTTCCAAATCCCATTCTGGCCCATGGACTCTTGGGCTGGGAACATCACTGCATTTACTCAAGTTTGAGGAGGAGTTTTTGAAAAGTAATCTCCAGAAGGTAAAATCTTAGGTCACCAATGCCCCAGCTTCACAGTCAGCGCCTTCACTCTGTGGCCCCCGCCACCCGTGCCTGCTCGGGCCCGGCAGCCGCCTGCGGCTGGCCATCTCCAGGCCTGGTGTCCTTCATCAGGTTATGCAGTCCCCCTGGAAGAAGCATCGGGCAAGGAGCTCGCCGGGCCCAGCCGGCTCTGGATGGGAAACTGTTCTAGTGCCCCTGAGGCTGCAGGAGCCTGTGTCATGCCCAGCCCCAGGGGACCTTAGTGGACCAGCAGGCCGAGAGTGAGCGTGGGCAGGACGCCCAGCCAGAGGGAGGCGGCCAGGGCCTGGGCCCGACCCAGCAGGTGCTCGGCCATGGCGCCGTCATCGGGCAGCAGCTCCCAGTGCTGAGCCTCACGGAGGTAGGAGCCCTCCTGGGCCTCGCAGTGGTAGTGGCCATACTGGCGGGCTGTGAGGTTCTCGATGAACAGGATGCAGTTGGGGCTCTGATGGCCTGGCTCGCAGCTCTGCTCCACGTTCTCCTCATGGCGCCATGAGTAGGTGGCATGACGGGACTCCATGGGGCAGCTCAGGTAGTAACGAGAGTTCCGAGCCAGGGAAACCTTCTGCAGTGGGGCCCTGTCTGGAGAGGGACGGGGGAGGCAGCTGTGAGGAGAGGCCGAGGGCTCCCAGGGCAGACTGTATCCTCCTCTGCTGGCTGGGTCTCCAGGGCCAAGGCTTCTAAATGAACACAGTGCCAATCTCCTCCCCACTCTCCCCTGCCTCCCTCACCATCCCCCTCTCAACAACCACCCTCCCATACGACAGGGCCCCCTCTGCAGGACTGTCCTGCCCCATCTGCCTGGGGCCCCCAGGGCCAGGCCATGTCTCTCTCAGACAGGGCTGTGCCACCCTCAGCAGATTGGGGCCCAGCAGGGCCAGATCAGGTACCTGGCTTTGGGTTGGGGCATTCTTTGTGTGGCTCAGCTGGATTAATGGACTGCAGCACCGGCCTGGAGTTGGAAGGGGAAGAGAAAGCTGAGTGGACAGGAGGTCTCGGGTCTGGCCCCCCATCCCTGTCCTCGTTCCCCACCCCCCACCCCCCCACCCTACTCAGAGGAGGTTGTGGCCCAGCACCGAAGCCTCTTGCAGCCCACTGACGCCACCCCCACTCCTATGTCCACCTCCTCCCAGGAACAAGGGACCCTGGCCAACGTACCCTTGGGAGCTGTAGATGGAGACACAGCGGCCCTGGTCCCAGCCGCAGTAGGGGTCTCGGGCCATGAGGCAGCCATGACAGCCCCCGCCGTAGACCTCACACAGGTCCAGGGGCACCTGGCTCACCTCCCACTGGGAGCTCACATACAGCTTCCGCTAGAAGAAGAACACAACTGGGTCAGGCCAGGGCCCCCAGCCCCAAGAGAGTTCTAAGTCCCCAGGCTACCCTCCAGGCTCTGAGCCCTGGGGCCCAGAGGCTCTTAAAAGGACATGCAAAGGAGCTCTGTCCTCAGCTGGCCATCGCTGGGTAGCTCCATAGGATACAGTGGGGTGGGGAGGCTCACCCGCTCAGCGTCCAGCGACATGGCCTGGATGGCGGCCGGGTGGTGAAAGGGCTGGATCTCCATGATGTTGAAGGCAAGGCTGCGTTCCCGCTCCTCTGACTCCACCACCTTGTGGATGGTGCCCCTGTCTGTGGGCGAGGGGCAGAGGGTCAGCGGGTCGGTGGGCAGGAGATCCCCAGAGCCAGGCAGCCTCCCTCTTGGCTGCGCCAACCAATGGGATAGTCGGTGGAGGAGGGCTGGGAAGTCATGGCTCAGGCGAGGGTCACAGGACTGGGGTGGGGTGAAGCGGGGAGAGGGTGACTGGGAGCCTGAGGGCAGCTCTGAAAGCTTCCAAATCTGGGCCACAGAGGCCATCCCAGGAGGCCCAAGGCTCTACCAGTCCACAGGGGCACAGAGCCGACTGTCCTATAGGCACAGCCCCGAGGGCCTAAACCCTGTGGGTGGGAGCCCATGCGCATTAGCATTTCGGTTGTTGAATCCTCCACACCCTTAAGAGGTGGGTATTATCCTCCCAGTTCAAAAAGGAGGAAATGAGGCTCAGAAAGGCTGAGCAACTTGCTCAAGGTCACACAGGTGATGACCGGAACCCAGAGGCATCAGAACCCCACCCCTCAGCTCCTTCTATGATTCCCCTGTTTCCTGGACTCTTTGGGGATGTTTTCTTTAAATAAACTTTTCATTTCGGAGTAATTTTAGCTTTACAGAAAAGCTGCAAAAATAGTACAGACTTCCCGAATACCCTTCACCCAGTTTCCCCTAACGTTACCGTCTTATGTAATTGTGGTACATTTGTCACAATGGAGCAATCGACACTGAGACATTACTATTACCTCAACTACAGACTTTATTTGGATTTCTTGGGTTTTTCCACTAATGTCCTTTGTCCGTTCCAGGATCCAATCCAGGACTCCACATTGTATTTAATCTTAGGGGATTTTCTTTTTAATTTTTATAAAATCTTAGATCTAAAAAGGGCCAGGCTGCCTGCCTCTGAGGCCACGCTCTCTCCATTCATACCTGTCAGGGACTAATGGGCATCCTGACCCCCGGGCCCTCCCGTTCCCACCTCACCCGCTGTCCCAGTTTCTAGAATAGCCTACCTCCCCCATTCCTCCCTCCCAATTTCCCAGGGCATCACTTGCCCCAAAAAAGCAGTCAGATGATGGGATGATTGCTTGCCTAGGATTCTCCTTTATGTGTCTATGGCCCCCCTCCGCAGGCTCTGAGATGTGGCCAGACGCTCCTCTGTCCTGACAAGCCCCCAGCCTTGCCACTGCCTTTGCACACACTGCCTGCTGCAGCCCCATAACTGCTTCCCACAGCTTCTCCCAAATGGGTGAGCCTCCTGCTCTCTGCAGAGGGCTCAGAAAGTTCTATATCTCATCTGGCCCTAATCCTTCCTGCTGCAGGATCCAACATGGCATCTCTCCAATGGCCCTCACACCAAGACCTCATCACTCACGTGCACTCACCTCCCAGGTCTGCAGGAAGGGAGCCCACAGCCAACCCGGCTTTCCTGGTCCTGGCTCCTGCTCCCATGCCTGTGGTTGTGTGACCCTTCCTCTCCGACACCCCAATGCCCTGCCATCGCCTGGCTGACCACAGCAGCTAGGCCAGCCGCTGCCAAGCAGAGAAAGGACAGGGGCCCATGGGTGTAGCCAGGATGAATGGAGGAGTAAAGAAGTGGGGTCTCGGGACCCAGAAGCCAGACCCCTTGGGGACTTCCTTTCCTGGAGGCCTCTAGGAGTGTCAAACAACCAGTAAGGCCACCATGGCCCTGAGAAGGCCACAGAGTGAAACTATAGCAGGAAGCCACATTGAGGGGGAGATGTGAATAACTGAGGGTGGGTGCCTGAGGCCCTGACTGCTAGGCTCCTGGGGGAGACACTGCCCTTTCTCACAGCACCACCACTCAGTCTCAAGGAAAGCCTGTGGCCCCACCAACACTGATCTCCATGCTTTCTCCCAGCAGCCCCCTTTGCCCACAGCCTGGGAGCAAGAAGCTACCAAAAACTCAGCTCAGAGCTGGCTCAGCAGAAAACTGCCCCCCGGGGAAGCCCCCTCTGTGGTCCTCTGCAAAGGCTCCGCTGTCTGGAAGCCCCTCCTCACGGCTCACTAAATTCTTGGCATCCCACATCAAATGTTTCCTCTCACCTGCATGGTCCCCAAGACAAGGAGAGAGTTTGATTTCCTCCTTCTGCCTAGCAGAGGCCCACAGGATCCCAGTGACCAGGTCCTTCCTCCTGACTTTCCATTTCTCTTCCTACCCCCTTCCCCGGGTCAGACATCTGGACCAAAGCTACGCCCAGCTTTGCTCGGTCTCGCTACATTTCTGCCTCTGAATCCCCACGCTTGTTCTCCTCCCATCCTAGGATACCCTCTCCTCTTCCCTCTGCCCCCACCTCCCTTCCACAGCCACACACACTGACACCTGACAGCTCTTGGTCACTCAATTCTTCCTTCCAAGTATAAAGTTCCAACCAGATGCCAGTGATATCATTCCCTATACATTTCATATCCGTTTTTACAAAGCAGGCCAGAAGGTCCTGGGGGAGCCCCTCACCTGTGGTTAGGTAAAGCACGTGGAAGGTCTCCCCACGGCTGGCCTGCATGCGGTGGACAACCACTTTCTGGTAGTGGTACTTTGAGTGGAACAGTGGCGTCTTCAAAGGCCCCATGGGCTCTACTCTCTGTGCCACCTCAGGGTGACTGTCAGCCACCTGGAAGGTCTCCGTGGGTATGGGCTGCCGGTCTGGGAGACACTGGGCAAGGAGAACAGGTCCAGGTTAGTCAAGTGGCTGGGGGGCGGGGCTGGGGCCTGGGCCACGGTGGGCGTCACAGCTTACCTTGCCAGGCCGAGGGTTGGGAAGGCTCGAATGGTAGCCCTTGAGTGAGGAAGTACGAAAGACCTTGTCAATGTCACCAAGGGAGTACACACAGACAGCTGAGTAGTTCCTGGGGGGACACAGAGACCGCCTCACTGGAGGGCCCAGGACCCACCCACCCTCATTCACCCAGGCCAGCCCAGCAAGCCCGGGCCCGAGAGTTATGAAACACCAGAGAAGGAAGGAGGAAACGAGAGAGGAAGGGGGAAGGGAGAGAGGGAAGTTTAACCAAATTTCTCTCTGTCACAATCTAATCACCCAACCTGTGTTCTGTCACAGAATCACTGAGTTCAGAGGCTAACCCCAGGGCAGGAGAAATCCCAACACACGCACTCCTGTTGGGTGATTCGCCAACCTCGCTGGACACAGCGGCAGCACACTGATGCCCAACACAGGCCTGTCCCCTTCCCAGCCTGGCTGGGTCTACCTGCCCAGGGGCAACAGAGCAAGGTTTTGGCCTCCCCACCCTGTCCCCCAACTCTCCTCACATCCGCCTAACACCTTTGCCTGCCTTGTTTTCAATCAATGAGAGTGATTAAGAGGTGTGAATTATCAGGCGCAGGCAATGCCTGAGCAGGTGTGATAGCACCCAGCACCTAAGAGGCCTCAGCAGCCTCTTCCCAGCGCCCAGCACCCACTCTGAGCACATAGCTGGTGGACACACAGGCACAGGCGCAGTCACGAGCATGCACATGGCATGTGCGCGCACACCCGTCGTATACAGACTCACAAACACACCAGTGCACGCACCTCCCTGAGCACTGGCTATCCCCCACCCCATGCCCAGCAACGGCCCTGTCCCTTGAACCTGGGGTCCCCACTCGTGCCACATCAGCCTTCTCCTCAGCAGAGCCCAAGCCTCTTAACCAACGCCAGCTCCAGCCCCAGCCCCAGCATGAAGGTCACTCACCAAGGGTTGGAGAAAACACCATAGACTCTCGTGTCCCTCCACTGGCCATTAGGGTCAGGGAGCAGAAAGACGTCCTGCAGCCTGTTGAAGTTCTTGTTGGTGGCGACATCGCTGCACACCAGCATGGCTTTCAGGAAGGTGTTCCACTTGGAGACCGACAGTGAACTCTCGCCACCCTGGTCCCCCTGAAAGGGTGAGGAAGAGGAGGCCCTCAGCACCTGCCCACGCTGCTGCACACACCCGAGGCACCTGCCACCAGGAATGCCAGCGCCCAGGCTTCAGAGGAGGAAAGAGAGCTCTGAAAGGGGCCAGGACCTGTCAGGGGACAAGGCACAGCTGCCTCTCCTCTCAGGCCAGGTCCTTGGGCCAGGCTCCAGCCGATCCAGGGCACAGGGCCAGCAATGGGGACCTGCAGGGTAAGGGTGCCAGGTCCCCATAGAACAGATTGGCACCTTCACACAGGTGAAACAAACACGTGTAAACACACGTTCATACTCACGAACACAAACACATCCGGCATGAATACAGACATTTGCACGCCACCACACATGCACGAGACCCCCTCTTTGCCCACGTACAGATGCATGGACCTTCTCGTGCACACACATTTGCTCCCACAATCCCACTCCCAGACTCACTCGCACATTTCACGCACTCCTTTATGGAAACACGTGTGCACACCTGACCCAGGCATGTATTCCCTTGCTCCTGTTCAGGCTCAGACACACACTCTTGCCCACTAGGCCACACACTCACCCTGCAGAGCTGGGCCACACGGGACACATTGAGAGGAGCCTCGGGGTTCTTGTCGGGATTGTCCTCTCGGAAGAAGTAGTAGATCTTGTCATCATAGGCCTGGTCTTGGTGCACAATGGTAGCCTTGATGAACTGGGGGTCTGCCAGAGACACAGATGAATGGATGTGAGGCTGGGAGCCTGCCCGGAGGACCCATCCTGACTCTGTGCGCGTACACACACACACACACACACACACACACACACACACACACCTAGTCTCTACAAACAAACCCAGAGCAAATCAGACCTAGACTAAAACTCAGAACATCAGGTCCAACAGCCCAAGGGGCCTGAGACTCTGCACCCCCACCCCACACTTGTTTTGCCCTCTTCCACAAAGATGTCATCGGCCCAGGAGCAATGACTTCATGCCTAGGGACTGGGGGGAGGTCCCTGGGGGCCCCTATGTCACTTCTGCCTAATTGGCAGAGCCCTAATGAGAAGGAGGAGGTGTGGCCCCGACATGAGCTCAGCAGAGGGATACACTATGGCTCTTGGGGACCCCACGCTGGGTCTGCAGCTTCCTCTGTTTTGCTCCCAAGGTGTTGGGCCCACCCTGCCTCCACACCATTGTCTCTTTTGGTCCCTTAAAGACAACCTCCTCAGCTCTGGGTACCTGCCCCCCGTTTCTTGAGCGGGCTGTGGCCCAGCAGCCCTTGGGGAGCCCTCCTATGGAAACTGAGGGCTCTCCATCCACTGCCCTGGGCATTCACACCCCTTCAGCCCCCACAGCCCAGCCACAACCCGACTCACTCTGCATAACGGTATCACTGGTATACAGCTCAATCTCGCCCTGGATGCGGCGGAACCGAGGGATCTTCCCGTTGAACTCCTGCTTCCGGATTGTGGAGTACACTTCGTCCCCTGGGCATGGTGGGAGGGGCATGGGTAAGGGCAGACAGCTCCTAGAAGTCCCTCCTCCGAACCTGGGCCACTGGACACAGAGCTGACCACCCTCCCCCAGCCCAAGACAGCTGCCCTACCATCAAACAGAACCAGCGAGTTCTCATCTGGGCTGAAGGGGGCATAGCCTCTCTTTTCACCAAGCGACTCCACGGTGCCGTTCACCTGGGGGAGACGAAGGAGGGTCAGACAGCACATGATGCCATGGCCACCGCTTCCTGTGGGCGCCAGCTTCCCAGCCACGATCCCCATCCTCCCAGGGATGTGATGCAAAGTGAGGCCAGCCTCAGAGTCCCCCCCCCCACCAGCTCCTTCCCAATGTGGTGGGGGCAGAAGCCCACCCAGACGAGGGTGAGCTGACCAGGTGCACGGGGAGGGGCCTTCTCACCAGACTCCAACAGCTGGGGCGCCGGGCATTGGTGCCACAGATGAGCAGCCCCTCACCCTTCCTCTCCAAGAGCGTGATGTAGTTCTCACAGTCCTGCCCGGGCAAAAGGGAAAGAGAGATGTTGGCTGGAGGCCCGGCAGGCCCAGCACTAGGACCCTCAGTCTTGAGGCAGGAGGCTTCGGATCTGAGCAGAGGAGGTGCCACTGACTCCAATGCCCCAAGAACAGCAAGGACACGGGGGCCTTGGTGAAGAAGCATGTCTCCCTTCAGAATTGGGAATCCTGGGGCAGGGCTACCTCTCTCCTCCCAGACTGTGGCTCCTGAGGCAGGGCCATGCCTCCTTCCCCAGACTCTCAGGGACTCCTGTCCCTTTTCCAAGCGGGTCAGCCTCCCCTCTGTACTCTTCTCCCTCACTCACCCGCTTGTCCAGGCAGGACCCCTTCGTGGAGCCAATGTTCACCTGGAGGGGAGAGGAAAGCATTAGGCCATTCTGCCAAGGCAACATGCCTGTGTGTGCTTTCTATGCATCCTCAGGACGAGCTCATTTTATAGATGAGCAACTAGGGTGAGTGATTTACCCAAGATCACACAGGCTATTTGCCCTGATACCCAGAGCCAAAGCCCAGAGCTCACAGGCCAGCCCAGAGATCTCAGAAGATCGGGGCCATAGGGCTCTGGAGCCCAGCTTCCTGACTGGGTCTCCCCCATCAGCACTACTCACTTGGCCTAGGAGGATAGCTCCAGGCTTTTCTCCGCACTGCCCCAACGCCCACACCAATCTGGACTACCTTTAGGGAGCCTCTCGCAGGGACCATATATGGAACATAATGGGGGGGGAAGACCTGTTCAGAAGAGATGCTAGCTCCCCCGGATTCCCTGAGGCCCCTCACCAAGGACAGAGGGGAGATGAGAGAAATGGGGCGGGGAGGGAAGGAGGAAGGGGCTCAGCTCTGTCCCTGGAGCCAGCAGAGGGGTCCAGGCAGAGGGGTCTAGGCTCACCGTGCGCATGGAGGCATTCTTGCCCTCGGGGAAGTCGAAGAAATAGACCTTGCCACGTCCACCCACCCACACGGAGGAGCTGCCGGGCTCGTGGAAAAGCACCGTGTGAGGCTCAGCCAGGCCAAAGTCCACCCAGTCCTGCCCTGCGCGGCCTGAGGAGGAGGCAATTGGCAGAAACGTTGAGGCTGGGCCCTGGACAGGAAGAACCCCAACCCTCCCCACCCTGCCAGGCGTATCAGCACCTGCGTGGCAGCTAGTGTTTGGGTCTGGGCTGGGGCAGTACCAGGACTCAGAGCCACGAGTGGGAGAAGTGAGGGATCCCCTGCTGGGGTCCAGCAACCAGCTGTCCTCACCTCAAAGCCAAGGCCCCTGTCCTACAGTATGTGTAACCTCAGGATGAGGGCAGGATTTAGGGACCCCTGGGGAGAAAAAACACCCCCCCACACACTCACCACGCACATACACACGCACACGCACACACAGTCGGCTCTTCCTGGGAAGCTGGGCTCTGGCAGGAGGAACCGGGGCTCCCCGTCTCTGCCGCCAGGACAGAGCAAGCAGCCACCTCCTTCCCCTGCAGGTAGCTGGGCCTCTAAGCAGCCCACTTAGAGTCAAGGTTCCCAGGGATCACTTTGGTCAGAGCCCGAACCCCTCCTTTGGGAAGCCCTCTGCAACCCCTTCCCGCCCACCCAGCCCCTTAGTGAGCCGGTCAACTTAGATCAGAGCTAGAAAGGAATCTGAGTGTCCACTCCTTCCCATGTTTACAGATGGGAAAATGGAAGTCCAGAAAGAGGCAGCCCAAGGTCACACGGTCGGTAGCAGGCACTGAACTAGAGCCCACGTTGCTGCCCCCAACTGGGCTCTGTGGCCTGGCCTGCTCTGGTCTGGTTTCACAGGGCCGCCAGCTCACCCCGGTGGGGAGAGATCAGCCCTCTCTCCCCAGCAACTCCGGGACAGGGAGCCCTTCACAGGGCACAGTAAGCAGAAGGGCTGACCGGGACAATTTTGCCCAAAAAAGAAACCGTCTGTAGCCACTGCCTCCAGGGAGGAGACGTCTCATCTCCGGTGACATTGCTGAGGTTGTCCTGGTTGCAGGGCTAAATTACAGGGATGGGACAGCCTGTGGCTGTGACCCCAGCAATCAGCCACAGCTAGCATCTCCCCACCTCTGACCAGCTCGAGGCCTCACCCCAGAGCGCGGCCTGACCACTGTTTATTCAGCTGCAGCAATTTCAGGAGCAGCCAGCTTACCCAAGACCCTGAAGCAGGACGCACCACAGCCCCACAGGAGAGGACAGCCATTTCCCTGAGTCTGCCCCCACCCCCGAGCCCTCTTGCTGCCAACCAGCCATTCCCACCGATTCTGCCTTCAACGGGGGTGCACCCTGTGACCCATACCTTCGCTCCCTTTCCCTAAGCTACCTCCCTGCTCGGTCACATCATCCCTGGAAGTGGGATATTCTCCGTCTTCACCTCAGCTGTGGCCTGGCTCACAGCACAGAGGCGGAAACTCGGCCCCTGGGGGGCACACTAGTCCAAGGTCACACTAGGAGGGAAGACAAGCTGCCTTATCCAGACAGTATTGGCTGGGGCGGGGGGTGGGGGGATGGGGGGGGGACATTCAGAGAGATGCAACACCGTGGGCCACAGAGAAGTGCTGAGCTCACAGCTCTCAGGTTCCCCTGGCTCTCCCGGGGCACCCCACACACAGCCAGAGCAGCTCAGCACAGCTCAGGCCTCATCGTACCCCAGGCTCACCCCTTCAGCCCCAGCTGTGCAGGGCAGGGCTGAGACCCCGGCTCTGCACCGGGTTGTGGGGACGTGGTGCTGGCCAAGGCTCATGGCTGGCAGGTCTCAGCCCCCGGGCTCCCCCGCCTTTTCAGTTGGGGTAAAATTAAAGTGCTGGGGTCAGCTCTCTGGCTCCCCTTTTACCGGCAGCCAGCCAGAGATCCAGACAGTCTGCAGCCACTGCCTCCCCCCACCCCACCCCACCCCCGCCCCCACTTCCCTAGCCAGCTATGGCCAGGGAAGGCTGCTTGTCTGCGTCTGGAGACAGGCTGGGCCCTGAGAGCCCAAGCCCCTGGAATCCTACCCCTCAAGCCACACTGGCCTCAGAGGAGGGGATTGCAAGGCCAATCACACACAGCTCTAGTGGTTGGGAAAGAGGCACCCGAGCGGCCCCTGAGGGACAGCTCTTGTCTGGGGGTCACGGTCCTGCCGTGGGGAATTTAGTCTGATGGGGGAAAGAAAGCCCTGCCCTGGGGAGTCAAGCCTGATGGGAGATGCATGGCCCAGCCCTGGAGAGCAAGGCCTGAGGGGGAGATCCGGCCCTACACCAAAATCCAGCCACAGAAGCGAGATGGCCATACCAAAGCAAGCCTCCCCAGATCTCACGCAAAACTGTTCTGGGACAGAACTCAGGACTGCTCATGAAGTACTTTTGAGGACACAATGGGAGGGAGGGTGAGGGCTGCCCACAGCTGGGTGCAGCACCAGGCCCAGGGCAGTCCTGCACAGATCTGCAAGCCTGCGCCCCATTCCCTTTAAATCCTGGCTGCAGCAGCCGGGGTTGGGGGGAAGCAAGGGACTACTCGCCCCATTTTGCAGAAGAACAAACAGGGGCTGGCAGCATTGCCTCCCTTGACCCCCTGGCTCCTACCCCTCCCCAGTCTGCGCCCGGCGATGTGTATGGGGAGGACGGCACCAGCTCGAGGCCTTGGCCCATTCTCCACCCCTGCCCCAGCCTGGCTCCCGCACTGCCCGAGGCCCTCAAAGGGCCTGATTGTGCCCGGGAAGTGTCTGAGCGGCAGCAGCTCGATGAATACATGAAAGGAAGCTTTGTTCAGGTCACAGGAGCGGGGGCTGGGGGCTCAGGGGCAGGAGGGCTGCCTGGAAGTGAAGGCAGCACTAAGCCTTCACAGCCAGGACCCATGGCCCGATGGCACCATCACAGAGAGCTGGGTCAAGGAGGGGGCGGCATTCAAGGCTCCGCCCATGCAGGGGCTGAGCAAGCCCAGAGGTTGCCCCTAAAAAGACCCAGCCAAGTGAGCAAGTGTCACATCCTTAAATGCATCTTTTTGCTTCCCGGTGAATCCATAGGGCTGGGGGAGGCAGATCAAAGCTACGTGGGTCAGGAACAGGCAGGAAGAGAATTCCAGACAAGGGAACCAGCTGAGCAAAGGTGGGGAGGCTGACTGAATGGTGGGTACATAGACCAAAAGGTCCAGAACGTGATGTGGAGGGGAGGTACGGAAGCCCAAGGATACTGCCCATCAGTGTCCACTGCTGCCTTCTCCGCCCTTGGAGCAGGGCTAGGGTTGCAGGGCCAAGCTGGGGAAACCTCCCCTCCTCCAGCATCCCCCACCTCCTTTCTCTCCCTGCCTGACCAGCCCCCTCTGCTTCCCATCCTGGATGTCTAAAAGGAGCACCGTCTGGCACCGTGTCTCCCCCCTCACTCCCCGGCCTGACGCATTAGTGGCTGACTAAGTGGTAGCTAAAAGCTCCCAGAATAACCAGGGGTTCAGGCAGGGGAGGGGGCTAGGGGCACATGGGGAGGGCATGGCCCCAAAGGTGGGCCAGGCACCCACACCGTCCTTGCTCCTTCTGGACCCAGAAAGCCCCCTGAGTCCCCTCCCTCCTCACAGTGGCAGGAGCTGCAAGGCCCAGCCCCAGCCAGAAAGGAGGGTCAAGAAGATAGCTGGGGGTGGGAGACAAGATGCTGTTGGCAAGAATCAGACCTGACTGCTCTTGGAGCCACCACCCTCCTACCACAGTCCCAGTGGCCCATGGGCTGGGGCAAGTCCGGGGTTCACACGCGCTGAGTTTTCCTAAAGCAGGCTGGCCTGGAGAGGTACTGCTCCTCCTCTCCTTCACTCTGTGTGTTGTCACCATCTGGTCCCCACTGTCCCCATATCCTCATTGCCTATGAAAGACGGGGGCAGCCCAAGGGGACGGTAGAATTGGGGCTGGAATGTATGGGATGTTGCTGTCCATGAAGGGAGCAACAAGGCAGGGACAGCCTTCCAACCTGACCCACTGACCCAAAGGGCCTTGAATGCTAACCTCAGGGAGCCCTTTGAAAGTGGGCATTGAGGCAGGCTCTGAGAATGGCAGGAATGTGGGCACGCAGCAGGGAATGCCTGAGTCAGGCAGCCTGGGGGGCCGGGGCACGGAGCAGGAGCCAGGCCAACCTCTGACTGGGGACCCAGCCACATCCTCCCACGACGGCACCCCACCCTGCATTGTCAGGCCCACCTCACACCCTCGCATACCACACACACGTGGCTGAGAAAGAGGAGGGAGTCCTCCTCCCCACATGCAGTCCAAGAATTAGCATGCAGCCTCTCCACCCTTTGCAACCCATACCCCACAGGTCAGGGTGGAAGAGAGAGGATCTGAACAATCACTGGGCTGAGAGGGCACAGAGGCCAGACACATGGCAAGGAGGGCAGAGGTAGGGCCAGGCTACAGCCCAGGGCTTCCGGTGCCCATCACCAGCTCCAGCCCTCCAGGACCACAGCCCGGACCTCCCTGAGAGCCTCTTGATTTACAAAGCACTGTATATTGCTTCTTCCTACTTCCCTCGGTCATTTCCTGCTCCCTATCCTTCCCTCCCTGACCACCAGGTGAAAACTTGCTAACCTGATAACTGAAGGGAATCACCCACTCGCCCACTTTCCAGGTGAGCCCTGATCTCTCGGGAGCCTTTAGTAATTCAGGCCTCAAACCCTAAGGAGTGACTAATGGGGAAACGCAGCACTGCGTCAGATCAGCGGAGGGAAACTCCTCCACTGGGATGAGTGCAAATGAACAAGTGTTTCATCTCTGTTTCTCCAGATATGGCCAGGAATGAGGGCAGGAGAAGCCGTTCCTATCCACAAGCCCAGTTTCCAGGGTGGCCCCAGCCCATGCCAAGGAGCAGTGATGGTTGCTCTTGGAGATCTGGTAACACAGGACAGAGCAATGTTCCAGACAGCTGCCTGGCAGGCCCTTGAGGTGGTACGTAGCTCATGGCGGAGTGACAGGTCTGCCTGTCTTCATCAGCCATAGGAACAGTGAGCTGTGTGCTGGGCTGAAGGGGCACATCCTCCCACCCACCAAGGTCAGCTGTGGCGGGGAGGGGAACGTATCTCACGTGTGGGCTCAGTCCTGG